TGAAGATACAGTCGAGTAAATTAACATTATAATTAATTCTTTACTACGATTGGTCAAAGCTCATTTTTACGCTCACACGATATAAACAATATTTTATCCTTATCCATCGCATATTAAACAAATGTAATAATACTTATTATACTGTAGCAAGTAATAAGGAATGTACCTTTTATATTATTAAACATATTATTAAACGATGGTGCTCCTGTATCTGACAGTACTAAATTGTAGCTCCGAAAAAAATTGTATCTTCTAAAAGATTCCCGTATAATACATATAAAATCTCATATAAAAATTACATATTTATTCTTCACTTCATTCATCAGTTCATCATTATTATTAGTCATTATTATTAATACTTATAATTGTTCTTTATCTCCTTCGTTATTAGTTGCAATTTGTTCTTCGCTTGTCATATAGGTAATGACCAGGAAGTGATCCTAAAAAATAAATAATTTTTTATTTATCACATGTAATGTAAAATATTACATTAATCTATTATAATATAATTATCAATATATAACAAAAATATCAAGACAAATGTGAGTCTATAAATAAATTAAAACGTTATCATAAATGACCTCAGTTCGAATGTGATGAATAAGATTCCCTTTATACTTGTAAGACTTGCCACACACCTTACAAGCGTGCTGCTTTTTATTGCTATGTACAAGTCTGTGATTGTTTAGCAGAGATTTATAAATAAATCTTTTGTCGCATTCCTAAAATTGAATACATTTATGATTAAAGGAAGGTGAAAATAAATACAAATAAAAAATAATTTAGAAAATTACTAACAATAAATTTGTAGCACGTACCTCGCAAAAATATCGCCCTTCAGTATGTACTTTCATGTGCTGCTTTAAGTCCATATGATGAGTAAATATAGATAAACATTGGTCACATTTATACGATCTTTCATGAGCGTGTCTTGTTTTTATATGATAATTCAAATTTTTTTTAGTTTTGAAAATTTTCTTACACACGTTACACTTGTAATTTTTGTCAATATTATGCTTCGCCTCTATATGATATTTTAAACTTCTTTTATCACTAGAAAATAACCGTAACAATATTTATCGTTTTTTATCAATTAATTTAAACATAGATGCTGATTT